TAAAATAAGCTTTTAGACTTGTATGCAATTGTCGAGCAATTCCACCAAAACTTAAAAAATGTATTTGAGCCATAATTAGACACATGACTGCCAAGTTTCATGAATCTGACTTTATTATTTTGCTGAATATAAAAAATTTGCTGTTGGAGTTGTATGGCAACCACCCGAACCGGTGCAGCTATCCCATTATAATTTTTAGAGCATGTGTAGAATATAATTGGACACATGTATACAAAATTTTATATTTACAGATTTATTAGTTTTTGAAATATTTAAAATAAACTCTTGGAGTTGTATGGCAGCTACCCGAACCCGTTGTCCGACTTAGTCCAATAACAATAGGGTTCGTCCTTGGCACAAAAGAAAAAACTTGTGAAAGTTTGGTGTCGATAGCATTATTCGTTTTTGAGTTATCGTGCGATCGGACGGACGGACGGACAAGTCTAAATCGACGCAGAATTTTACGCTGAGCAAGAATATATATATGCATATGTCCATACCACAGATGACTCCTTCAAGTAGTTACAAACTCCATACCAAAGTTAATATACCCTTCACGAAGTGCAGGGTATAAAAATGTCTGTTAAATATTTCTTTCTAATTTTTAGGACATTAGTAAGCTTATAGTTAACATACCTAGAAAAATGTAAATTTGGCTCTTACTAGAGTTTCGCTTTGTGCTACCCGAATTCCCTGAAATGCTCACCGGTTAGTTTCGGTAACAACCAGAACTCAAATATAAAATTTCAAGAAATTCCATCAATTCGTTCCGTAGATATGGTGAAAAATGTAAAATCGGCCCGCAGATCAGTTTTCGAGCCCTGATCTTTCCAAAAAATTTATATGTTCATTGTTTCAATACGAAGAATTTAAATATTAAATTTCAATAAAATCGGTTGATTATTTCTCTATATATGCGCAAAAATGTATATTTGGCCCGTAGTAAACGTCTAGTTGCCGATGCCTGATTATATATAAAATTTCAAAAAAATCGGTTGAATATTTTCTTCAAAATGTTCAAAAATGTAAAACAGGCCCGCTAAAAAGTGCAGTCCCCGATGCCTGATATATCCCAAAAGTTGAGCAATCCGTGCCATGGTGGAAATAAACTTACATATAAAATTTCATCAAAATCGGTTCAGCAGAACTTGAGATACACGCGTGCACACACAGACCGATAGGTTGCTAAAAATAGTTTATTTACACTTCCCTACTATGGAGAAGGGCATGCCCACCGAAAACTCGATATGCAAAATTTGTTGCCATCACATAACCTCCCTATTGTGTACACAATACGGTCGGTAAAAATTGTACTGAAAAATAAACTATAAGATTAAAATGTCATAGACACCCTGAAAGTTGTCGACTACAAAATAGGAATTAACGGCTTTTTAAAGAGTTGAATAAGGAGATTAAGGTAAAAGCGATTCCTTTTTTGTGAGGAAATTTGATAAATTAAACGTAATACTAGTGTGAGTGGCGTTACATGGCTAAATTATTGTCAATTTAGTCGATGTACTTGCGTTTATGTTTAATTTAAGTTCCGTGTCCAGTAATTTTCCAAATGAATTAAAGTGTGCAGTAGTTATTCCACTTTTCAAGACAGGTGCACGTCAAGATGCAGAGATCATGATAGGTCAAATAAGTACTTCCTCTATTTCGAAAGTATTTGAAAACTTAATTAAAGTGAGAGTTCTAATTTCTTTTGAAAAAAAAAATTTTATTTAGTCCCTCTAATATATTTTTGTCATAATGTGTCACGGTTAGTCACGATCTGCCTCTAAAAGCATTATATAATTCTGGTAATAGAGTTTCTACTTATGCCTGGTTTGAAACTTTCTTGGAAGGTAGGGTCCAAAGTGTAAGTTGTATAGATAGACTTAGTTGTAGAGATTTCTTAAAATACGGTGTGCCCCAGGGCTCAGTCTTCCACTATTCAAACAAAAACTTAAAGGTAGGGAGGGTGATAGGTTTTGCGGATATGAATCGTGATTTAAATATGTTAAGGAATTGGTTTGCGGTTCATTTTAATTGATTGAGTTCAATTAGTAGGTTAGGTTAGTAGTACAACAAAAAGTATGTTTTTTAGTCTCACTGCCCAAATGTGTCCGGAAGTTTATCTCGTATTTCATGATTCCAAGTGTGATAGGTTTACGAGTAGTATATCAGATACTGGCAGTTTTATAGATCTTGAACAAAAGTCTTACGATAGTACCAATGCATGTAACAGTAATTGTTTTATAGTTCAAAGGGTAAAACAGAATAAGTATTAAGGAACTATAATTGATAAAAATATGAATTGATCTGTCCATACTACTAATCTGAAAATCGAATTGTGTTCAATTTTAAGATGTTTTTACCGAATGCAGTAGGTTTGTTCGCTGAGAGTTATGAACTATAAAACTTACGTTCAAACTTTAGTTCCCTGTTTAATGTTCCATTTTTTCGAACTACAAATTTCTGCAATTCCTTTTCTCGGACAAATCAGAAATTTAAACGTTTTTTTGTTAAAAATTAAATTGTGGTTGCTTAATTTGGAACATGAGGATGTGACAATTTGTAGCGTAATCAAATTTAAATAACATATGCAATTTAAAAACTCCTTTAAAAATATTAATTTTTCGTTTTAATGCTTTGAAGTTTCTTTCTAGTTTTAAAGATATGTATATATTTTTCTCTTTGCTTAACTTAGTTATTCTAATTTTGTTGTAATTTAACATATTAATTTTAACTAAAAATTTTATTAACATTTTAACTAAAAATTAACATAATAATTTTATTTCACTTTTTTTCTTTGACTTATCTCTCCACCAAAAAAATGTAAATATGAAGTATCAAAAGAAACTCAAGTGGTCCATACTCATACTCACATAGTACATATTTGTCCATAACCTACAAAAGTTTATCAACGGTTGGTTTAGAGCAAGCTTTTTAAACTAAGGGTCGCGACCGCAAATGGGGTCGCTTAAAAGAATTCTGGAATCGGGAAAGGTTTTAATATTGAATATTTAAATACACAAAAAAATATACAAATTTCAACTGGAAACAAAACAAAATTCTTTTTTCATACTGTCATTTTTTAACATACCGTATATGTGTATTTCACACATGTGCACAAACAAATGTTAGATATGTCGACAACAATGACTGTAGAATGCTTGCGCATATGTGCAGCGACCTAATGATTCAGTGGTAGTGTAGTATTGACGCCTTTCTTGCGATGTCAATTGTCAATGTTCCATTTTAGGTTTTTGACGCGAGATTTCAGGTTTTTTATTTTTTATAAGTTGAACGATCTCAACTTGTTTCTTCAAAGGAAAAATCGCGATATATTTACTTCGAATGATGAAATTTAAAATTTTGTTAAAATCAATATTTCGAAAAGAAGGGTGGAAAACAATTCGTTCGAAATATTTGCCAATGTCGATAATTTTATAGAAAAAAGTAATTGCAAAAACTTTATGGCAAAAATTATTATGAATCATTTAAAAACGTGAGAAACGCAGTTTCGTACATATTTTTTTATTAAATATCGATTTCCAAAAAGTTGCTTGGATAGAAAAGCCATTTTCAATTGACTTAAGCGAGATTGATCATCTGCTAATTAAAACTCAAGAAGAGTTTGTTGAACTTTCGAGTGATTCAAATTAAAAACTAGAATTTTCAAACAAAAAATTTATTGAATTTTCGATCGGAAGTAAAATAGAATTTCCCACAATCGCTGACATGGCATTAAATACTCTTTTGCTATTCAACACCACGTTATTTATGTGTGTCAGCTTTAACACACATTAAATAACAAAATATCGGACAACGCGGACAAATGTTGAAGAGGTCTTGCGATCAGCAATGTCAAATATTAAACCGAGATTTCATTTGTTGTGCAATAAGAAAACAGGCACATTCAGCACATTGAATTTTTTCATTTAATCTTATTTTCATACTTAGGAATTCCCTATCATTTATGTTACTTTTTTGTAATTTTATATTTTAAGTTCCTAAATGAACATGTGTATATTATGTTCCTAAATGAACATATGTATTTTCATATACATATTGTTATTTAACAAATAAATAAAAAATATTTAACTTCTTTTTATTTTTATATGGAGGAAAAGTTTAAAGAAGCCTTGGTTTAGAGCATCAAAAATGTGTAAAATTCTAGTTTGGAACTATGTGCCAAGTCTCAACGGTTTCCGAGATACAGAGATATCAGCGAATTTTAATACCTGCCCAAGTTTTTTTGTTTAAAACTTTCCTTCCGAAAAAGATAGAGGAACTAACTAACCTAAACCTATTTTGTTTGAAACATGTTTTGAAAATTTTTCTTTTTTTATTTTTTTTTATTTTCTTTATTCCGATCTTTACTTAGCAAGAAATTTTTTGAAACTTTAAAATTTTTTTACAAAATTTTGCCCAGTTTTTAGTAAAGTAAGTTTAAAGTAAGCTTTAACTGAAGCTATGTAACATTAAGAATTTTTTCTGGATATGTAAAATGAGATATAGAAAACCAGCTACAGCCTTTTGAAAAAAGAGCTACCAGGATTTTCCTGCCTATACAAATGAATGCTTATATCTTCGGAACAATGCGGCATAGAGCAATAGGAAGTAAAATTCGATTTAAAACTTATAAAAATAACTTGTTGCAAATTAATTTAAAAATATAAAGAACTTTTATTTAAATAAAAAAAAATTTGTTTTATTTATTAAAATAAAAATATGTAATTTATTTTCCATATTGTTCGAAAAATAGTTTTGTGAAAATTGCAAAACACTTAAAATTAAAACCTACTATGGTGTACTTCATGCTTGTATTTTATTTTCGGAAACATTCTCTCAATTGAATTGAGCATTTCAAAAATTTTAAACCACACCCGTTAATGCAAATTACATCATCAAATACATCTCTAATTTTATGTTTCATGTATATTTTAGTTTAATGAAACCTTTTTTGAATTAAATGAAACTTTTTTCACCTGAAATGAAACCCCTTTTTGAATTAAATGAAACTTTTTTCACCTGAAATTAAACAGAATTTTTTTTGATTAAAAATATTTTTGATTTTATTGAACCCAATTTTTTTTAAATGAAACTAATTTTTTCCAAAATGAAACTGTTTTTCTCTTTTTTAATTAAACCTATATTTGCCCAAATATTTATTTACAAATATTTCTAACTGTAGTAGTGTTAAATATTGTTTATAATATTTTAATATATGATCAAACAAAGTTATGTGACTGATCAGAAAAATGTGACCAAACATATAAGTAAGGAACACACTTACGGCTCTGAAGTAAAGCTTTGTATCGTTTCCACCAAATGTGGGACAGACATTCGAAAAGGTATTCCTAGATTTTGCCGAAGAACTTGGGCAAAAACAGAAAAAACATTAAAAAAAATATAGTTTCATTTCCGCAAAATTTGGTATAATTTAAAAAAAAATTGGTTTCAATCCAATAAAAAATAATTTGAATCAAACAAAATTTTGTTACATTTGAACTAAAAAAATCTGATGTGATCAAGACATAACCGACCGCAATGTGTATTAAAAGTTATAGAATATTATAATAAAGTTGGGTCAAACCAATGGTTTGTATTGTAGCACTTTTCCCTTCAACAGGTGAAAATACTGCTTTTAAAAACAATCTATGTATATTCACCACACTATTCAAATTATTTTCATTCATAAACGAAACTATTTCTAGGATTGCATATATTTAGGATGAACGATTTATGCAATCTTTGAAATAGATAAAAATTAATATAAAGAGGGGTTAACATAATGCTCGATTTTAAGGGTTAATTGTGTGAGTTAAGAAAAATAATTATATTTTTTAATGTCATGGAATTTACTGTTAGCTTTTTGCGTTTATAGAAATTTGAAAAAGCTTGCGGTTTCGGAAATATAAGGTGTCAAAAATTCAAATTTTACGAATTTCAAGAGGCGATAACTTGAGAGGGGGTGGAGATGGAAAAAAATTTTCTTCTAACGAAATGAACTATTTGTTAATGTCTAAAAGCCCCTAAAATTTCAAGCTTCTGGTATAGGAGAAAAACGACATCGAAAATTTGGAAAAAAAGGACTTTAGATAACGGTAAATTTGAACGGCCATTTTGTTTTTCTAAAGTTAACCTTTAGTATACCCCGCTAGGGGAAGCTCGCTGCCTTTCTGCGTTTGCAAAATTTAAAAAATGCTTATGGTTTCATTGCAACAAATAGTTAAAATGGGCCATCTTTATGGCTTTGGGGGGGTATAACTTCTAGAGGGGGAGAGATAGGTAAAAATTTTGTTTTACGAAAATAAGTTTCTAGTAAAGATCTATGCACGTATTAAATTTCAGCTTTCTATCTTTAAGAATGTAGAAGTTTTGTAAACAGACACACGGACAGACGGACGGACGGACGGACGGACAGAGTGAAACTAATAAGCACTTTTTTTTAAAAAATTTTTGGAAAAGTGCTAAAAATGTCTGTTAAATACTTTTTTCCAATTTTTAGGACATTAGTAAGTTTATAGTTAACATACCTAGAAAAATGTAAATTTGGCTCATAGTAGAGTTTTGCTTTGTGCTAGCCGAATTCACTGAAATGCTCGCCAGTTAGTTTCGGTAACAAGCAGAACACAAATATCAAATTTTAAGAAATTCAATCAACTCGTTCCGTAGATATGGTGAAAAATGTAAAATCGGCCCGCAGATCAGTTTTCCTGATCTTTCCAAAAAATTTATATGTTCATTGTCTTAGTACGAAGAATTTAAATATTAAATTTCAATGAAATTCGCTGATTATTTCTCTTTATATACGCAAAAATGGATATTTGGCCCGTAGTAAAAGTCCAGTTGCTGACGCCTGATTTCTTTTAAAAGTTAGGACCGACCGTCCGAGCTGAGCTTATATATGAAATTCAAGTAAATCCGTTGAATATTTTTTTCTAAATGTTCAAAAATGTAAAACATGCCCGCTAAAAAGTGCAGTTCCCGAGGCCTGATATGTCCCAAAAGTTGATCAATCCGTGCCATGGTCGAAATAAACTTACATATAAAATTTCATTAAAATCGATTCACCCGAACTTATGATACACGCGTGCACACACAGACGGACAGATAGAGAAGTGCATTCCCACCGAAATCGCGATATGCAAAATTTGTTGCCATCACATAACCTACCTATTGTATACACAATACGTTCGGTAAAAAGTTGTATTATAGTTGAAAATAGTTTCATTAAACTAAAAAATGCAATAGAATATTACTATTATCCACAATTTTGGGTAACTGTCGGTAAATTTTGGGTAAAGTTTCAGAGATGTTCATTTTTAAATATTCAGATCTGGCATGCCAAATATGAGTAAAAAATTTTCGCCAGAGCTGGTTTTTAAAAACATTGTTCTTTTTTGAGGTGATGACTCTGTTTAGATCTGGCTAATAGGGGCAGAAAAATGAAGTACAAATTTATTTGACATTTCCAATAAATGCAAATAAATATAAAATTCGTTTCTCGAAGCAGTGGTTCAATTATAGAAGTTGATTCGTAATTAATTGAAATATTTCACTTAAGAGTTCGCCTCCAAAAACAAATTTAAAACAAAAAATTTATAAGTAAATTGCAAACTTTTACTTTTATAATAAAATATTAAGCCAGTAAAAAAATTTTATTTCTAATTTACAGACAAAATATTTCAATTTAGTACAAAATAATTTCACCAAATATTCAATCATTACAAAAATATAAATAAATGTTGTGAATACGAAAAAAGTCATTTTTGATCTTGTCAATTAGAGAAAAACTTAGTTAATTAATCATATTAATTTGAAAATAGTCCCGAGGTTATTATATTTTATTAAATAAGCTTTCATTCGTTTTCTTGTTTCATTTGTTGAAAGTGTAGCTAGCACACATTAAATACGAGATTGTCGTTTTTCCAACTTTCTGATTGGTTGAAAATACTGCATAGTTTTACAAATGAGTGAAATGAAATCAGTTGATTGTCAGGAATTAAAATTTAAATGAGTTGATTTTTTTTTATTTTCGTCTCATGAAGGTTCAGTTCTGTGTTTTTAATCTTTTACTTCGATAAGGCTATTTTGTTTTTTTTTTTATTTAATACAAATTATACGATATATGTAAGAACACAATATATTTTATTCGATTTATATGCTTTTGTTGATATTTTTAATATTATTTACGAAAATATTTAGTAAAAAGTAGAATGCAAACTTGGCGCCAAAAACTTTACTATTTAGTAAACGACGAAAGTTTAAATCTAACTGTTTCATTTTAGCAGAACATACTTCATATTATGCTAAAATGGTGTCTTTAAACTAAAAAATGCCATCCAGTTTTGGTGTAAACGCAAATTCGGAAGTTGATTTCTTTGAGGTTTTTAGGAATGAAATGTTATGTTTGGCGGGAGGGGTTTGAAATTTTCAGATTTTTAACTCAAAATTTTTTTAAATTATTTTTGTAACATCGTTCGTAAAACCAATTTTAATTTTTTTTTTATATATGAGCCGATTTCCATCACTTTTTAGTTTTACTTAAATTTAAATATTAAATAAAAAAGCAAACACAAAAGAGTCGACTAGAAGCTGATGATGATATACATAACGTATCCTCATTGAAAATTAAATAAGGAAAAAAAAAAAGGAAAATATAAAAAACCTTTTCCGTTTGCTTTCTTATTTAATATTTAAATTTAAGTAAAACCAAAAAGTGGTGGAAATCGGTTCATATATGTACATATAACAAATAAAACAAAAATTTTTATATTTGAACGACTATAACTCGAAAACGGTAAGTCTCACTCCAACCATTCGCATATCGTTGTGCGTATCTATGAATTGAAAAATCAAAGTTTCGGAACAATTCCAAAACCACCTCTGAAAATCCCGGGCACCTCCCCTCTCCCTATATGATTTTTTTCTCCACAAACTCTAAGGAATTACAACCCGACCACGTTTACACCAGAACAGGACCACCCTGTATAACAGAAAACATAAAAGTTTATGAAACAATTTGAGTTTGTTTGACTTTGATTTAAAACCTAATCAAATTCAAATTGATTACCTAAACAAAAATTTTAAAATATTTGAACTTCAATACTTACGATGGAATGAGTGGGGCAGGTAACGCTTGGCCTCCGGTAGGTCTTCCCTGTGGTAAAGGAGGAGCACCACCACCTGGTCGATTCGGAATAGCCGGCGCGGGCCTACCTGTTGCTGGCGGAGGTGGGGGACCCCTTCCAGCAGATGGTGTCTGTATAAAAAATATATTGTATAAAAAAATTTTATATTTTAGTATTAATAAATTTATTAATGTAGTCTACTTGAGGTTGAATTGGAGTGGATTTCCGTGGTCCTCCAGGACTTGGTGGTGACAACCTTGGATTATCTGCACTTGGTAGCCAATCATTTTTGACAGGTGGAGGAACTGGTGTTGAAACTGTCGCCATTGAAACATCACCTGCAAAATGTGAAAAAAATGATACCAACATTTGCTTGGTGCTTTCAGCTTGAAATAGTTTTCTGAATATAATTTTGAACATTCGTTAATAAAATGCTAGTTAAATAATCATGCGCAACAACACGTTATTTTAAAAAAAAAGGCTTTGTGTAATGTAATATTCATTACAAAGATTACTAAAACAAAGTTTAAAGTTGAGAAGGTTACATCTTTACAAAAAATGCATTTTTCTTCTTTAGCTTATAACTTTGTTGTTTTCAAATATTTTCAGATGCGATTTTCTGCATCTGAAAGATACATATTTAAGCTCTCTATAAATAAATTTTTATTTTTTTAATACACTTGGCGAAAACCAAAAATTTATTAAATAAGAGATAAAATAGTAACACTATCTTCAATGAGCCACCAAAAAAACCACGCTTGGGCTCAGTAACTAATTCAATATTCGTAAGTGGTGCTAACATTTTTGTTAAACAAAACAAACGTATTGGTTAATTAAAAAAAATGTAGCTTCATTGTTCAAGATTTATATAATATCAAACAAAAATTATCACATATGTTTAGCTCATTTTATTAAAATTGTAAGAAAAAAATATCCATAGTGGTTCCAGTTAAGATTAAAAACCTCTAGTTAATGAATATTAAGTTAATTGAGATCCACTGGAAATGACAAAGATGCCTGTTGTCCGCTAGGTAAGTATTCCTAGAAAATTTTAGATGTACCTGCCTTCTTGAAATTCAATATTTTGTTTTCAGATTCTCAAGTTTCTTTTGCTTATAACGGGTTCACAGCGTCGCTTTTCTATACTTCACTCATTTCAAATCAAAAAAAAATACAATATTTTCCTTGGAAGTCATAAATAGGTGTATTTAAATGAAAATATAGAGTGTGTTTGTCTGTAGTTTTGAAATTGTTCCATTCTGTGCGTGAGATATTTTAAGTTTACTTTTTTTATTTAAAAACATACCCGTTAATAAGATAAAACTCAAAATAAGAAAAGTTCTTAAAAATAATCACAAATAAAGTTGGGTCAAACCAATGGCTTGTATTGTAGCACTTTTCCCTTCAACAAGTGAAAATTCTGCTTTTAAATACAGTCTATGTATACCTATCACACTATTAAAATTTTTTCATATAATAAAATAATGTTAAATATGAATAAATAAGTTAAATATGAATAAAAATAATTAAAATTATTTTCATTCATATTTAACTATTTCTAGGATTGCATATATTTAGGATGAACGATTTAGGCAGTCTTTGAAATAAAGCAAAAATTAATATAAAGAGGGGTTAACATAATGCTCAATTTTAAGAGTTAATTGTATGAGTTAAGAAAAATAATTATATTTTTTAATGTCACGGAATTTACCGCTAACTTTTTATGTTTATAGAAATTTGAAAGCGTTTGCGGTTTTGGAAATATAAGGCGCCAAAAATTCAAATTTTACAAATTTCAAGAGGCGATAACTTGATAGGGGGTGGAGATGGAAAAAAATTTTCTTTTAACGAAATGAACTATTTGTTAATGTCTATAAGCTTCTACAGGCTGGGGTCTAGAAGAAAAACGAAATCAAAAATTTGAAAAAAAAAGACTTTAGATAACGGTAAATTTGAACGGCCATTTTGTTTTTCTAAAGTTTAACTATAGTATATCGCGCTAGGGGAAGCAAGCCGCTGCCTTTATGCGTTTGCAAAATTTCAAAAATGCTTATGATTTCATTGCAGCAAATAGTTAAAAAAGGCCATTTTTAAGGTTTTGGGGGGGTATAACTTCTAAAGGGGGTGAGATAGGTAAAAATTTTGTTCTACGGAAATAAGTTTCTAGTAAAGATCTATGTACAAACAAAATTTCAGCTTTCTATCTTCAAGGGTGTAGAAGTTTTGTAAACAGACACACGGACAGACGGACGGACGGACGGACGGACGGATGGACGGACGGACGGACGGACAGAGTGAAAATAATAAGCACTTTTTTTCAAAAATTTTTTGGAAAAGTGCTAAAAAGTACACAATTAAATTAAACAAATAATAAGTTCCCTTGAAATCTAATATCTTTTAAGTAATTTATTTTAGAACCTCGCTTTAAGTTATGTTCGATAAAATCGTAATTCGTCGGCTGAGAAAGAAAACAGCGTATAACATTTATATGTCGTTATCCGATTTTATCACCATTGGATTCTCCATAGTCGATTCTATAAGTTGAGTTACTTTATATTTCTCTATCTTTTCATTCTAACATACTTTTTAAATAAAAACGAAAATATGTATAAAGCATTTTTAGAAACTAATTAATGACAAAATAGCGTAAAATGCGTTTACTTTGTTTTATTGCCAAACCGTAACTTTTTACAAAATTTAAAATAACGTAATGAATTCTTACACTATTTTGGTACAAAATTTATCATTCAGTTGTTAATTTCAATATCAAATAAAAAAGTGTATGTTACTTTTACACGCTTTTTAAATTTTAATAAAAAAAATTTTTGCAATAAATTGAAAAGTAAAACGGTGTAAAAATTTGATACACTGTTTCATATTGTCTTATACACTACTTTAATTTTGAATTTTGAATCGTCTTCCCTGACAAACAATGCAATAAAACAGCGTACAAAACAAACGTATGTACATTATACTTGTTTAATTTTGTTTAATTCTATATTCATCTTCATGTATAAGACAAATATTTTTAACAAATAAGTATTCTGTTGGATTCTGTTGATCAGTACAGAACTTAAAGTTATAACTTTTTTAATAAGTGAAGCAAATAATTAATAATTTAAGGAAAAATTTTATACTCACAACAATTAAAATAATTCTGTTGTGTTACGTAAAAAGAAAAGGAATAAAAATTTTAATGATGAAGAAGTGGTAACATTTTTCAAGAAGTCACCAGAAAATTCTATTTTCTTCTGGTTCTGATGACAATTATGAACCTAGCAAGGGTTCAGCATCTGAAACGGGTGAAGCGGGACCAGAAAAACTTACAGAATGTTTTATAGACTAAACGTTTGATAATGAAACAATTGCATCTACACCACCAGAAACACTACTAGAAAAAATTTTAGAAAGTACTAATCTAAGTGAAAATGTAAAAAAGTAAAAAAATTCTGATGTGGTCAGCACATAACCGACCGCAACGTGTATTGTCTAGTTAAGTGAAAGTATTACAGAATATTATAAAAATGTCTGTTAAATACTTCTTTCCAATTTTTAGGACATTAGTAAGCTTATAGTTAACATACCTAGAAAAATGTAAATTTGGCTCTTAGTAGAGTTTCGCTTTGTGCTACCCGAATTCCCTGAAATGCTCGCCAGTGAGTTTCGGTGACAACCAGAACTCAAATATCAAATTTCAAGAAACTCCATCAATTCGACCCGTAGATATGGTGAAAAATGTAAAATCGGCCCGCAGATCAGTTTTCGAGCCCTGATCTTTCCAAAAAATTTACATGTTCATTGTTTTAATACAAGGAATTTATATATTAAATTTCAATGAAATCGGTTGATTATTTCTCTTTATATACACAAAAATGTATATTTGGCCCGTAGTAAACGTCCAGTTGCTGACGCCTGATTTCTTCCAAAAGTTAGGAGGTTTCATCGCCGGTAGAGCAAAACTTATATATGAAATTTCAAGTAAATCGGTTGAATATGTTCTTCAAAATGTTCAAAAATGTAAAACAGACCCGCTAAAAAGTGCAGTTCCCGAGGCCTGATATATACCAAAAGTTGATCAATCCGTGCCATGGTGGAAATAAACTTACATATAAAATTTCATCAAAATCGGTTCAGCCGAACTTGAGATACACGCGTGCACACACAGACCGACAGACCGACAGACGGACAGACCGACAGACCGACAGGTTGCTAAAAATAGTTTACTTACACTTCCCTACTATGGAGAAGTACGTTCCCACCGAAAACTCCATACGCAAAATTTGTTGCCATCACATAACCTACCTATTGTTTACACAATACGGTCGGTAAAAATTAAAAAAGAAAGAATTCAAAGCAAAAGAACGTTACAACGGAATTTGCAACTGCCAACACAATTGCGTTGAAAAATTTCCTTAAGATGCAAGAATTAATAGTAATAATTCGTATTGAAAGCTGGGTGATCATGGAAAGAAAAGATTATTTATAAAACATACTTTCACACACAAAGTACATACAAGAAAACGACCGCGAACGTCTCGGAAAAATTTTACGCCTTGTTATACATTGTATTGTAAAACCGTTTGCAAAAAAGCTTAACTTAAGCATTATAAAATACACATAAAAGTTGGCTAGCATACTTATAAAAGAATCTTTAATACAAAATTTAATTTCTTGTTTCATGTGCGCAATATGAAAACATGATCAATCAATCTTAGTTAGAAGCGTTCAGTAGCATTTTATCAAAACTTGGCAGAAAAAGCCTCATCTAAAAATAATTTATCTAAATTAAACGAACCAAGCTATTCAGAAGACGCGATTGAAGAGCTATAATTAATTTTTAAAACTAAGTTTCAAAATTTCAAGTAGAAATAATGTACATTTGAATTATCTTTTATGTTAATATTATGTTACATTAATATCGATAAAAATACCTGTTTATATTTTCATACGTTGAGTTAAAGTATGTAATGTTAATTTTGTTTCTTAAATTATATTAATTTTTTACAAAATAAAACAACGTATAAATAAAAATGAAGTGGTATATACCATACAAAAAAATTAAAATGAAACAGTGTACAATTTTTTTCATACAATTTCTATCAAAAATAAAATAGTGTAAGAAGTACCAAGAAATTTCAAACCTCTAATTTTCTAAGATCTATAAAAATTTATTTAATCAAATTTATGCAAATAAACTATTTATTCCCCCAAAAATGTTTAACATAACTTTTCAGGATAGTTAAAGGTGACGACCGGAAGATTTTAGATTCGAAACTTCATTTTCATTTTGCAAAAAACTTCAAACGCGATTTACTCAAAACTATACCTTTTTTTATACACTGTTTTATTTCTCAGCCGACGAATTTACCTTTAATAATACCCATTTTAAGCGATAAATTACTGTATACGCATAAAATAATTCGCTACTAAAATCTATGCAAATATGTATTTGGATTTTATAATACATACGAATAAAACGCGTGAATGTATAATTAGCTATTACTATACAGGGAAATACGAACAGCACACGATTTCTATGCAACAAGTTTCGGGTTAGAACCCTGAAAAATGCGGTTTGTCAGATGAGATTGTTGACAATTTTATTTTTTTTTGTTCTTATTTAAAATAAAATTTAAAAAGCTTTACCCTTACAAATCAACATCAGCGACTTTCCGTTCTAAGTATTTTTTTGAAAATACCCTATTTGTAAAAGTTTAATGCAATAAAATAACATTTTCTTATTAAATTTTGTCCTGAAAATATATTATCAAGAAATATAATGTACACTTATATTTTGCTTACTAATAAATTTTGCAGCAGATCGCGAAAAGAATACATAACTAAATGCGTACGTACTTACTTATTATAAAACAATGTAGATTTAATTAACTCTTTACAATTTTCTTAAGAAAGTGCTCACTTTTTGTTCTAACTCACACTTCCAAAAATTAATTTATATACAATATTTATATCACCAAAAGTAAATGAAAATTACCTCTACAGGATGTAGTACCATTTTGTAAAAAGCGGTCAAAAAGTTCTTGGGAGGGGGTGAAGGGGGAGCGTAGGTCGAATTCTGGGTTTTTGTGGGCAAAGCAAAACGCTATATAATGCCTCTAGTCCCATGTCTCTAGCCCTTCTAGAAGTACCCGTACTTTTTGACACCTTAGAAGTACCTATATGTATATAATGTAAAGTACGATGATTTTTGAAGAGTTATTAGAAATATGAATAAAATATAGAATTATAAAGGGAAATTTAAGGTACTGCGTAGCCTGGTGGGTAGCGTGGTAGTCTGATAACCAGAAAGTTATTTGATCGATGCTTGATCGATATTCTCGTATTTTTCTTTTTTTGGATTTTTTAAATTTTTTTTTTATTGTATTTTCTTCAAATTTTTTGTGTCATATTTTTTTTATTATATAACTAATGTCTTTTTATCTAACAAGTCCCAATGCTCAAAGAGAAACTCGAAAGCACGACCTTATTTTATATGGGGTTTTTTAAATCGAAGTGGCTATTTTTTGAGAAGAAATATTAAAATTAATTCACACTTATTATAAAGCAGGTAAAATTTAGAAAATATATTTGAAAAATCAAAAAAATATATTAATATATTCATTGATAATTATTTTAAAATTTAAAAAAAAGCGGAAAAACAACAAGCACATTCTTCGTTTTCAACGTTTTATATGTTACTGAAAGCATTTCATTATTTTTAAGTGAACAGCTTTTTTTTCTCATAGGGTAAGTTAACTCAAGATATGGGGAGTAACTGTCAAGTTGAAAATATAATTAATGAAAGATAATTATTGAATATTGATATAAATACATAGTAAAGAAAAAATTTGAAGAGGGAATTAGAAAATAATATCTAAAATACAATCAAATATTATTTTTCCAATACAAATTTTATATATACTGCTAAATTTTACCTCTATTTTTATTTGAGAAAAATTTTTAAAACTTAATATACTACCTAAGTAAAAAAATTAAAAAAATATTTAAAAGGTTTTGGAAAAGACAATAATATATTTTTATAATATATTTTTATTTTTTATTTTTTAAATAAATAGTATCTTAGCAAATTACTCAAAAACTCCGATTGAAAAACGACAGGTAGTAGGTACTGATGTAAATTTTTGTCCGTTTGCGTTTACTATTAAGATTCATAAACAGGCAGGGCCATTTTATAAATAGGTTGCTCTTGTCTACCTGCTAATAAAATATGAAAAAAAGAGCACAGCAAAATTTTTGAAGCACTCAATATAACATGTTTGAAATAGTTTTAAAATAATTATTTAAAAAAAAATTGTTGGAAGTAGGTACATACATATTTATTTTTAATAACTTAAAAACTAACTGAAATCATTTGAAACAATTATGTAAGTAACGTATAAATAACCGAAATGAGATAATTCAAATTGTTGAAATGTGTCAGCCTATATTATTTTTATTAACATTTTTGTTAGCCGACACTACTCAACTTACCTTATTGAGAAATACAAAATGTGCATGAAAAATCATACATAACATTTGAAACCATACTGAAATATGAATTTGAAATTTTTTTTCATTTTTACTTTCCTCCTACCTTTCTTTCTTTTTCGTGCAATAGAATTTAAATGGGAAGCTTTTTAAAAATTAAACTCTTTTTTACTTAAAAAAAAAGAAAAAAATAATAAAAAATATGACACGATCAGTGGCATTTAAAGAAAAAACCAGCAACGAAGCCGAAAATTCGTAATATTTCGTAAAAAAATTGAGTATTGGGACTTGTTAGATATAAAGACATTAATTAAACCATGGGGGTAAACATACAGAATTAAATTTTTCAAAATAAAAAAAAGGATTAGGGAAAAACAAAATAATAATGTTATTCAAATATATGTATGTATATATTAATGTTTTAGAATTTAGCATTTTAAAGTTTTTCGCTCGAATAGTAAAAATGAAATTATTAGTACATACGTACATAAATTGTGAATGTATATTTTTTTAAAGGTTTCTGACGAAGCATAATATTCAAAACAATAACAAATGAAGCATTAATATTCAGATGCTATAAAACATCTGATGTCTTTGAGAAAAGCTGACATGTAAGATCATTATATTTTCGAATATTATTTATTTCCCGGTTTGTTTTTCTAATGATATAAAGTATTATTCATTTAATGTTTAGGCGTTTTCAAAAGTATATTTTAACAAAGGCTATGTATGTTTTGAATTTGTAACCGAAAGACTTACACTGACGTATAATAGTCAATTACAATGTTTAAAACAGTATTAAAAGACTTTTTAAAAACTTTTAGGAAGTGATAAAAAAAATTTTTTAATCATATATTAAGTGTGGTCCATAAAACTCAAGTAGATGATAGATTAAAATTATTCCAAAGGAAAAAAATTTAGAATGCTCAATTTTTACATTTAGAAATACAAAATTTAATAGATGAATTTATAGCATACATTCTCGTTATTATTCCATTTTGTAAGAAGAAACTTTAAATGTTTGAAATAATTGGTATAAGGAGAATAATAAAAAATTGTTTCAGATTTACAAAAATTTAACAAAAGTAAAATTTCTTCACGATATTTTGTAAGCATTCCTTGATATATAAGAACAAAGCTATCTAATATTTTTAAAAGTTTTTAAAACATTTTTTGTTTAGATAGGTATAAAAGCAAGTAAGGTGAATTAATTAAAAAATAACTTATCGGATAAAAAAAATTTTAGAGCTGTGTAAATAGCAAAATTGGATTGTTCAATTATGTTTTACAGTTAATGTGCTATAATAATCGATGTCATACAAAAAAAAATTTTTGTATGTCATGGGTCATTATAGCACTCAAAAATTTTTTGAAAAATTTGTATGAAAATTTGATCCATACGCCAACTATTTTGCAAGTTGATCAAAATGCGTCCCAATTCGAATTTTGAGTGGAGGTATGTCAAAATGGCATCGGCATATCTACGAAACTAAATGAGATAGTGAAAAACTGATTAGATATACTGAAATATCGTCTTCGAAAACCTATGAAAGGGGTCTTAAGTCAGAAATTACGAAAGTCGCGTAAGGATCAAAATAGCACTCAGCCGACGATATGTATTTCTGCACAAGAAATTCTGTTATCTTAAAAAAACTTTAAACTTTTTTAAATTTTACCAATAATTCTCAGAGCTTCTTTGCAGGCGTGATACATCCTTAGCATCTCCTCCCTTTTCACAGCCTCTTCTGCACTTTCTTCCATCATTTGCGACTGAAAGAAAATAAATTTTTGATTAGTAACGAATATCAATTATTGCATAGTAACTTACTTTAAGTTTTAATATAGCACCTACATACATATGTATTTTAAAAAAAATAATTATATTCGCGTGATTTTTGCCACTATTGGAATCTTGCAATATCAGACACGTTCAACTTCAAGTAAGCCGATATGTCGCAGTTGAAGGTCAGAAAACCAAATTAATTTTATAGAGGGTAATATCAAGAATCATTTTCATTAGGCTTCCTCACCGCAATAAGATAGCTCCACACCACCAAGTCAGTGGACCAATGGATAGAAGAACATAGAAAATGGCATTCATTCGCAAATGGCATTTTTGAACATTTAGATAAAAATATTCAACGGATTTACTTGAAATTTCATATATATGTTAAGCTCAGCTCGACCGTCCGCGAAACCTCCTAACTTTAGTAAGAAATCAGGTGTCAGCAACTGGATGTTTACTACAAATATAAATTTTTGAATATATAAAGAGAAATAATGAACCGATTTCATTGAAATTTAATATTTGAATTCTTCGTATTAAAACAATGAACATATAAATTTTTTGGAAAGATCAGGAAAATTTTTTGGATTGGTTCAAGCTTGAGATCATAATTTTACTATTTGGTTTTCGAATATTCAATATATTCGCATATTCAAATAAGAAAATATGAACATATGTTTCGATAGTTCGTATTTTTCAGTACATTCTTCTTAAAGTCTGGAAAGTGGAAATTTTAATCAAATAAACTGAAAAGTGGAGTTTAAAAATCTGAAAATTACTAAAATGAAATTTAGTAACATGAACATTTTTTAAAGTTAGCATTTTAAAATGTTGCTATTAAATATTACATAATATTAAAATTTCAACATATCTTTCTATATCAAATAAGATATCTTATTAAAATAGGATAATAACATAAAAGTCAGGATTTTCCCACATTGCTTTGGGCCGCTCAATAAAAAACTTAAACTACTGAATTATATTCAAATTTTTTATTATATAAGAAATAAAAAACATAAAAAAATAATACAGTCATACAAAAAATATAAAATCTTTTTTTTAAAGAAATTTAGCAACGTCTTTCTATTACTATATCTTCGAAATTTGGTTGAATTTAATTCGCAGTTGTCATTTTTAATATTTTTAATATTGATTGAAAATGTTGAGAATGTTCGGAAAATTTCGAATTTACTTCAGTGGTCTACTGTTTACAAATATAAGAAAATTAAATCAGTTCAAATATGTATATAAGTATTTGATTTATAGAACAGTCGCTTTCCACTTCTCGAAGCAAACTATCGTGAAAATTCGGTTCCGGCTACATTTTACATACAGTTGTGTATTTTTTGCATATGCATACATTTAGTTTTTGGATGTGTGACAAAGCCCCGCAGAGCCTTCACTATGGTTTCAACACATTCTTACTGGTCTAAATCAATATTTGTAACAAAATTATAAGAATTAAATTTTACAATTCTCAAAAATCGTAACGGGCCGCAGGATTAAGAGCTGTTTGATATGTTCGGTGTATAACATGACATATCTATATTTCAATGTCTTCTTAGAAAATTTTATGATTTCGAGAAGTGAATAAATGTTGATATGTAATTTTGTCTGAAAAATGTTCACGTTTTTTTGTATGAATTTCTAAGTCAATATAATTGTTTGTCATTTTAAGATTTTAAAAATTTTTGAATTTTATATTTATTATAAGCACTAGCAAACTTAAGGACGCAAGAGTCACCCGTCTTCGGTAATTATGGCATCGAAGGCTGAATTTTTCTAAGTAATTTTTTCTGATTACTTAATCGGTTTTTTTAAACCACTACACATACATATATATTTTAAAAAATAAATAATTTAAAAAACAACAATACATTGTATGTTGCAGCATCCTTAAACTTAGCAAATAAAAAAATTTATCACAAGTCCCTTTATCACAGGTTAAATCCTTAAATGAAACTCAATAATAAACAAAAGCTTTAAAATATTAGCTATTTTCTTCTACCAAAGAAATTAAACTTATCTTTCTAGTTATTCAACTTTAAAAAAACATTAATGTTTCAAAAATGTTCATATTGGAATAAAGTTCTGTATGACGTTTTACTCTAAATATACACTGAGAAAAAATTTATAAAAATTTAGATTTTTTTTATAACTAGAGCAGGCACAAATTATATTAGAAATCACGACAACCACACTTTATAGCTAATTTTGGAATAAATATATTTCGTACCATTTTAGTTAAGAAGTCCTTCTTTGTTTTAAAATTTTCTAATTCACACAACGCAATTTTTTGTCAAAATTGTGAAAAAAAAAGAAAATAAGTCTGTGGTCAGCACATAATCGAACAATTTATATTGTCTAGATTAGTAAAAGTATTCCAGAAGATTACGAAAAAGCGTTTTAAACACTTCTTTACAATTTTAAAGACACTAATAAGTTGACATTTCTAGCAAAATGTAAATTTGGCTCTTAGTACAGTTTCAATTTGTGCCGTCCAATTTATACAAAAATTTCCTCAGTAGCTTCTGGTAACAACCAGAACTGCAATATTTAGTAATGAGCAATATCGTTCATTTCAGTAATTCGTTATGAACGAACTCCTTTTTCTTACTGAGCGAATATAAAATATCTTGCAATCGTTTATCTCGTTCACTTCTCTTCTGTATATATATAATCATAAATTTTTTGGATAAAATAGTATAGCTATGGGTTTCTACGGTAAATTTTAAAGAGAAGAATATCGGATGCTTTTGGATTTAATCAAACTTTCTTTTATAAAAATTAGGAACAAATACTTTTTTATCCTAAAGTTACTAATACTATGCTATTAAGCTAATAGGGTTGTTGTGATCCTTTCATAGGGTACTTCTGATCCGTTTGCTTTGTACAAAATCCTTTTTCTTTTCAAACTTTTCGACGTTGTTCTAGTAAACAAAAATTTTAAGCACAATACAAAAATTAGATATAGTTATATTATATAAAAATATATAAAAATTAGATATAATTAGATATATTAATTTTTCTTAAACGTTTGTTAAATTTGTAATTAAACAAAAGTTTAAAAAAATTAGTATAGGATTTAGTATAGGAAATTAGTATAGGTTTTGCTCAATTTTTTGTTTAATTTATTGTAATCCTAACGGGTTAGTATGTAAACTTATAGTGATTAGTTTTTTTTCTAGTTTTTTTCATTTATTTAAAATATTTAGGTAAAAAACGATCATAATTATTATTCTTTTTAATATATTTTATACATAAACATAAGACATATGGTGGTCCAGCTCAATCCTTCTTTTTTTACCGACCGTATTGTGTAAACAATAGGTAGGTTATGTGATGGCAACAAATTTTGCATATCAAGTTTTCGGTGGGAACGTACTTCTCCATAGTAGGGAAGTGTAAATAAACTATTTTTAGCAACCTGTCGGTCTGTCGGTCTGTCCGTCTGTCGGTCTGTCGGTCTGTGTGTGCACGCGTGTATCTCAAGTTCGGCTGAACCGATTTTGATGAAATTTTATATGTAAGTTTGTTTCCACCATGGCACGGATCGATCAACTTTTGGTATATATCAGGCCTCGGGAACTGCACTTTTTAGCGGGCCTGTTTTACATTTTTGAACATTTTGAAGAAAATATTCAACCGATTTACTTGAAATTTTATACATAAGCTCACCTCGACCGTCCGCAAAAATTCATATGTTTTAGAAGAAATCAGGCATCGGCAACTAGACGTTTACTACGGGCCAAATATACATTTTTGTGTATATAAAGAGAAATAATCAACCGATTTCATTGAAATTTAATATATGAACTCCTCGTATTAAAACAATGAACATATAACTTTTTTGGAAAGATCAGGGCTCGAAAACTGATTTGTGGGCCGATTTTACATTTTTCACCATATCCACAGAATAAATTGATGGAATTTCTTGAAATTTGATATTTGAGTTCTAGTTGTTACCGAAACTAACTGGCGAGCATTTCAAGGAATTCGGGTAGCACAAAGCGAAACTCTACTAAGAGCCAAATTTACATTTTTCTAAGTATGTTAACTATAAGCTTACTAATATCCTAAAAATTTGAAAAAATTGTTTAACAGACATTTTTATAATATTCTGTAACACTTTCATTTAACTAGACAATACACAATGTGGTCGGTTATGTGCTGACCACATCAGATTTTTTTATTTATTAGGTAGCTTTCAATTTGAATCAACTATTTTAATCTTTCAATTTTCTTCCATCACTTTTATATGTTTTAATATTATTATACTTTTATATGTTTTAATAATATTATAAGAATTACATATAGATTAATATAAATACAATACAAATAAAAGTGATCGAACTAGAAGACTATACCTGAATAGATTTGTGTTCTATTAAAAACGAACCAAAGTGAAAATATATTCATACTGAATAATACCGAACGACATACTAAATATATCGACATTATTTAGTATTTTTATAAGTATTGGATATGCCTAATTTAGTACGTCGTCCAGTTTTATTTGTTTTACATTTATATTAGGCAACTGAATCGGCCACTTTCTGTGTATAGTATTACATTTATTTTACTTCTCGTTCGCTTTTATTTTACCAATATTGCATATAGGAGTATGCTGTTCGTTTTCATAAGTGTTGGATATGTGTTATTTAGTATATCGTTCAATATTATTTTTATTGTATATCTTATTAATATTAGCGCAAGTAAGATCTCCAACGCTTGCAGAAGAAATAACTCACAAAAAGAAAACAAAAAAGAATAACATGCAGAAAAAGAAAAAAAGAAAACAAAAAAATGTATTCTCAATTCTACACATATTATATCGTATTCATATCGTATAAAATGTATACCGATTTTCTGCACAACTTTTAAATTTTCCTTTTATTTTCATATTCTCATTAAATTGAATAAGCCCGAGCTTAGTACGCAACATGAGCGATTACATTTGAATATACATAGTATAGTTTATTAA